TTTATTATGAGACATTTCTATAAACATAAATATAATCATGTCTCCAGAATGTAACTTTATTAGCTCAATATTTTGCTGTTACAGCTTTGCCACGAGCTATCGATATTCTACAAGTTCAGTGAATTAGTGAACTTGTAGGATATCTATAGCTCCTGATGAAGCTGTAATAGCAAAAATATTGAGCTAATAAAGTTACATTCTGGAGACATGATTATATTTATGTTTATAGAAATGTCTCATAATAAACTCCAGTAAAAACAGTAAAATATTGAGCTAATAAAGTTACATTCTGGAGACATGATTATATTTATGTTTATAGAAATGTCTCATAATAAACTCCAGTAAAAACAGTAAAATATTGAGCTAATAAAGTTACATTCTGGAGACATGATTATATTTATGTTTATAGAAATGTCTCATAATAAACTCCAGTTTGTGTTAAACACAGCTGAGAACAATATTACTGATTAGTAAGATCGTGATTTATAACAACGTTTTTAAGTTCGTAAAGCATTTATTGATCAGTATAGAGAGTGAAAAACGTTTTGTTTCTACAGTATATAAACATTGTAGTATATAGTTATAAGTACTGATGCACAACACAGATAAAAACCTTATTTACATTCTATTACTGTTTTAACCTAAACACTGATACACACAACAAGAGAAACGTTCTGTGTTTCTACAGTATATAAACACTGTAGTACATAGTTATAAGTACTGATACACAGCACAGATAAAAACCTTATTTACATTCTATTACTGTTTTAACCTAAACACTGATACACACAACAAGAGAAACGTTCTGTGTTTCTGCTGCAGCCAGTGATTGTTGATCAACAGTTACACAGGCTTACTTTACAAATGTAGCAACAATAAATACTCATACTGGATCCACAAGTTCGGGTTGTGTAACAGGTGTTTTAGTGAAATACAAGAAAACGATACAGTTCAAAGTGAAATAAACAAGCCTTATATGAGAGTCAAACTGTGAAGAATAAAAAAATTCACTGTTTTGAAGAAGAAAAAAAAAGATGTCAAAAACACTACTTTTCCTTTTGGAATTTAATTTTTCTTACTGTTTATCAGAAAGTTATATATGCATTAATTTTTAATTTGATTAGTATTCATTAACATATTTTTTCATACTTTATTTTGCAATTGCAGGCAATCATTTCCAGCTATGAATCGTAAAAACATGTCAATCACACTGGTCAAGATGGACATAGAACAACCTTTCATAATGGCATCTCCTTTATCAGGCTAGGTAACAATATTCTTGGCCAAAACCATTTTCATTTAATATATATATATATATATATATAGTTTATTTTCAATAATTTACAAGTTCCTTTACTTATATGCATTCTTTGTATACAATACACTTAGCAATAACATATAATAAATATGGACTGGATTTACCAGAATATACTACCCAATGAAGCTTACCTGATGGAATTTCTGTAGCTTTCAAACATATAAATGTTAAGATGAAAACATTGTGGGGAACAAAATTACTGTCTAAACAAACTACAGGACATTCTCAGATTTGTGGTTTGTCTTTTAGAATTCCCATAAGTTTCCTTGGCTCATCCCTATAGAAACTCTATCTAGTATACTTCCTCATGAAATCACACATTACTGGTCATTGTAAAATAACAGTTTATAATATACTCTATCACACATTACTGGTCATTATAAAATGACAAATAGTTTATAA